TCCCTCAACCCATACTTATATTAATAGATGTAAGCAAAGTTTAGGTCATACACATGATTGACTGATGGCAAGTCATTCTCAATTGAACAATTCTTGACTTGCAGGTTTGTCATGTCATTTTCTAGTTGTAAAGTTCACACAAGATAAAATGATATGTAATCATTTTATTCTCATTTGTCTTATTTCCTAAAAGATACTGGAAGCAATAAAAACCAATAACAAGTAGGATTATTGAGAAAATTAAGAATTATTATATAAATCACTATTAGAATATCTGACATAATAAAATTGCTCAAAAAAGGAGTAACAACTAAACGAATACTTAAAAATGTTCCAAATGAGCATATTTGTAGAATCAATTGATGAAAAGAGGCTGATTGTACTTGGGCACACACAGAAATTAAAGAACATCCACTTAAATGGTAGATGTTAATGAGTATTTCACGAACTGGAAAGTTGTTTTGAATAATTTTGATGTATTATAAAGGAAAGAAAATCAAACTTTTGTAGACTTAGATGATTATATATAGAGAAGCATCCTATTGGTAGGACAGAAAAGATCAGTAAGAAATAGGTCCATATATTGCATCACATGAGGCTCTAGTCTATTAAAGAAAGAAATAGGCATGGTGCTATTTCCACAGTGTTCTGTATCTAGATGAATAGGAAGATCCTGTTTCTGTGGCTCTGGATATAAATGAATCAACTTGAAGAACAAACTCAAAATAAACAGAAATGAGCTGTGCTGCAGGGCTGATTAAGAAGTTGAGGGGAAGGAGTTATATTACTTACTTTTCTGGTAATTGACAAAATTCATGGCAAAGGCAATTTAAAGAAGGAATGGTTTACTTTGGCTCAGGCATTAAGGGTACAGTCCATCATGGTGGGGAAGGCATGGTGGGAAGAGTGGCTCAAGCCACAGTGATTGGACCATGAGGCAATTGAGCACATTGTGTCTGCAGTTGGAGAGAGAGGGAGGGAGAGAGAGAGAGAGAGAGAGAGAGAGAGAGAGAGAGAATGGAGGGAAGGAGGAAGGAAGGAAGGAAGGAAGGAAGGAAGGAAGGAAGGAAGGAAGGAAGGAAGGAAGGAATGTTGGTGTTCCACACATTCTCTCCTGTTTTATTCAGTCTGAGACCACTTCACATGGCATGGGATGGAGGTCCCCACATTGAGAATGGATCTTCTCTCTTTAGTTAAAACTTTCTAGAAATACTGTCCTAGACACACATAGTAGTGTGTTGTCATGGTGATTCTAAATCTTGTGAACCTGATGATGAAGATAGCCATCACATGTGTACACACCATGAAGAGAGCAGGTGTTCAAACAGGTGCGCCCCACCTGAAGGATGTAGGTATTCAAATTCTCACCCTCAGAAAGAGAAACATATTGGAAAAAGGAGGAATAACAGTTCATCAGGAAATGGAGGAGAAACAAGAAGACAAATAAATATGGATTCAGCAAAAACAATAAAAAGCGGGTGGATTAGAATTCAATATGGTGAAATACTTGATGTAAATTATACATGTTCTTGGGCTTTTACCATTGTGTATAGACCATTCTTCTACTAAGCCTGTGTTTCCCTGAGATGGTAAAAAAGTGCTCTTTGCGATGGAGATGAAGTTATAAAATTTAGTCAATGAAACCAATGTAAGGCCATGAAGGGGTTTTAGAAAATATCCTATGTAGCAGTAAATAAACAGTAACTGTTCACACTAACACCTGATTGTGAAGTGGGAATTACCTTGTCATCTATATTTTCCACACTGAAAATTATTGAAGAAAGCAAGTTAGTGGACACAACAACCAACCTATTATCTCCTATGCAGTTGGAAGCATACAGATTTGCTTCCAGAAGAGCCAGGCTTAGAAACATGAGAAAGGTGGTGTGCAAAGGAGAGAGAGGCTAAGTAAATGTGTGGTATTTCTTGTTTTCTTCAACACTTGGGTAAGTCAGTACCAAAAAAAAAAAAATACTTTAAAACTACGTCATTGACAGACGATAACCAATCAACTTCACCCCAGGCTGGCTTATTCCAGATGCATTATTTTTTTCACTTTTATTTCTTTGAGAATTTTGTGCAATGTGTTTTGATCATATTTACCCTCCTCACCCCCACCCAATTACTCCCAGGTCCATATCTCCTTTTCCTAAACACACATTTTTGTATCTTCTTTTTTTTTAAGTTAAAATTTAAGAAGAGGTACTATTTTTAAAATTGAATAGGTCGACCTTTCTCAACACTGAGTCACTGGTGCACCTAAATTTAGCAAAATCCAGGCCATGGAATAACTCCTTTTATAATAGCTCTCTACATGATTGTAGGGGAAGGGCTGTGTTCTTGTTTTAAATTTCAACTTTACCCATTTTGGTTTATTACACTTTTTGGTGTTGAAATGAAAATTCTTTGAAAAGAAAAACTAGTCCAGGTTAGTCATGTCAATGGAAGAGACGAGAGAGCAACAAAATTAGTCTTATCGAGCAAATTCTGGAACTGACCCTTTCTGAGACCAATTGTAACATCATAGTATTTGGAAAATTCCTCTTCTGTCCCATCTGACCTTTCAGAAAGTGGTGCAAGTGTTAATTTACTTGAACGGCCACTGAACAACTATCAGAGCCTAGTTACACATTTCTGAGAGTTTTGATCACACCATCTTAACTGATTCACAGACTGGGATAGGTAAATACTCCTTGGAGATATGTATAGCATGTATTGTTTTCTTCAAGGGATGATATATACATATGTAGCATATATATATTCCATATACTATACATTCATAAAAAGTGTTTAAGATACATTGCCAAGATATAATGTATACCAATTTTCATTGGCAGAATTCAATGCCAAATAATTTAAAATTGAATTAAAAATGTTCTTCATCTAGGAAAAAATTTCATTTTGATATATTTAACCTTCTGAAAACTGTTCATTAGAGTCTTCAATCTTACTGTGACCTAAACAGAACTTTTCAATTTAAAAATTAATTTTCTTGAAGTAAGATTGAAGAAATTCATTTAGGTGTGAGGTATTTGATTTAATTTTGAAAGTATTATAATTTAACAACAAAAAATCCACTTCAAGCTATTGAAATTGCTTGGACTTTTCAGATCATCCAAATGTCCCAAAAATTTTTCCTTATATCCAAGAAAAAATTACTTCAACTGCATGAAGCAAAAATATAAGGAATCAGAAAACACACACACACACACACACACACACACATATAAATTCAGTTTCCTGATTCTGTTGTGACAATCTTACACAACATTTGTACACACACACACACACACACACACACACACACACACACATATATAAATTCAGTTTCCTGATTCTGTTGTGACAATCTTACACAACATTTACTAAAATTCAGAGTATACTGTATGACAGGATATATTCAGAAAATTAATGTGTTTGTAATATTCTAAATGGTGTATTTTCCTTACATTCTAGTGTAGATAGTATGAAGAGATTGTTTTCTAAGGCAAGAGCTTCATGCCTATAATAACTTCCATTTATTGTGTCTGCTTTTAAGAATTATATTTAAGAAAATAATAGAACAGAGTTGAATTCTGAATTGGTATCTGAAGGTTTAAAACTAAAAATTTTAGCAAAGGTAACAAGCATTTTAATATAAAATATAACCTTAAGCAACACAGAAATATACATTTTTAGCCCCCTTAGATTTTTCTAAATCCTCATCAGTTATAAACTCAATTCCATTCTTTGCAGCTTTAATTTAAAGGTGATCATTCACATTTCCCACAGTAGATGGAAAGTAAATATTAAAAATTAGAATTCAATCAATGAATGAAGAAACCAAGATACAATTAACTAATTAATTTGGTGAATATGGCTTCCTAGCAAGTAGCAGAACTAAGATTTAGAGTCCAGTATCTTTGATTCTGAAGATTTTTTTCAATAATTAGTTGTCAATATTAAAAAACTATAGATGTCAACCCAGGGTATGTCAGAAAGTAGGAGGCTAATGTGGGCATTGGGGTCTCTGTAATTGAAGCCGATACCTTCCAGTCAATAAGCCACATGGTCTTCAGTAAATCACTTACATTCTCTGCCGTTAATTCTCCTGGTCTCCCAAGAAAGGAAAACATAACCCTCAAGATATTTTTTTTGAATAATGATGAACTAAGGTAACTACTGTAAAATGACATGAAGGCCAGGTGTTACCAACCATAACTGGGCGTATCTTTAGAGTTCTTTACAGCTTTACAGCAAATGAAAGTTACCTTCATTTTCATTTTATTATTATTTTTGCTGTAATGGAAAATAGATTGTCTAATTGTTTCTTCATTTATATTTTGTCCTACTGAAAGCTACTTCCATTGCTTTTCAGAATTAAATTTACCAAACATCTTTCTCATAACACATTACCTTATCCCTTTTCACATTGGGTAATCTTACTTCCATATTTGAGTAGATATCAAAAGCTATTGTGGTATCTGTACCAGCTTCTAGAAAACTCCCTGTCACTTACTAATACCTTTGGTAATGTTTTGGATCAACTGAATACCCAATTACAAAGGTTAGAGTGATTTTTTTTCTTTACTAAGCTCCGTTTATGCCATAATAGGGTGTACTTTTTGCCTACCTCCTCTGAACGGCTATGTTATTTGAAATTGGTGGTGTGCATCTTCAAAGACATTTATTTATACTAGTCTCTTAAGACTAACAGTTCCAGGGTCAGTGAGATGGCTCAGTGAGTAAAGTGCTTGAGGACAAGCCTGACAACCTGAGTTTGATCACTGAGATCCACATGGAAAGGGAGAAAAATAATCCCTGCAAGGGATCCTCTGCTCTCCACACATACACTAAGGTACACGAGCCACCCCCATGAAGTAACTAAATATAATTAAAAATTAAAAGTTATTAAATAGGCATGGGGAATCAGTTAACTATTCAGTTAACAAAGATTAAAAGTTACAGAAGGAAAAGAATTAAGCTTTATCTTGATATTTTTCTTCTTTAAAGAAATAAATGTTCACCATTGATGACCAGCACCCGGCTCTGATCACCTTGAGGACACCCTGGACCACCCTTCCAGGACCTTTGATAACCAGGGAATCTGAGGGCACCAAATTTTTTTTAAAAAACTGCTATAAACTGTTCAGACAGATGAAATATAAATCAACACATAAGTGTTTTTAAGCAGAATAGAAAATCATAATAATTTCAAAGAAATTCATCTTGTCCCTAGACATAAGAATCTTGCTTGATTGATTCATTGATGCTACAAGAACCTCTGATAATTGAATTTAACTTGAATACTTCAAGAATATATTCAATTATTCAAAGATACATATATCTCTATATATAATTTTTTTCTAGAATAACCAAAACACTTGAAAGAAAAACATAATATAGCAATTGCTTATAAAGACAATTTCATCATTACTATGTCATTAAGAGAATAACCTTCTCTATTATGTTGCAGATTTTATACACATTTTGATAACTGATATTTAAGCATAAACTTACTGTAAATCATGTTTGAAGTAACAATATCAAACATATAGAAAGCTGAAATTGTAAAAGCAAAAGTCTCCTATTTTATTGTGTGCAAATATGCCTGCTTTGGATTTTTCAGTATAGATTAAAATAGTATAAAAAAGCAAGTGATAAAAGTGAAAATAATGAACTCATATATTTAAAGAATAAATTTCACCATTTTAGTTGAATGATCAAAAATAAAATAAAATAAGATCAGTATTGTAGAACTAACTGTATTGAAAAAAATCACTTTCTAACTTCTTCTAAGAACTATTTATATACAAGTAAACTCAACTTCCCCAAGTCTTTCACCTAGTAGTAAAAGCTATGGGTAAGATATTTTCTGAAACGCACACCCTGCACTACTAGTTTTAATTTCACAGCACTGTCAAATTGTTAACAAGTAATTACTGAACTGAATTGGGAGCATTTTGCTGGGCATAATGACACATCCTCATAAACACAGGACTTTTGAAGCTGAGGTGGAAGGATTGCAATTTTGAGACCAGCCTAAGCTATGCAGTGAGAGCTCATCTCAGAAAAGGAAGGTGAAGGGAAAAAGAAAAGGAAGGGGAAAAGGAGAAACAACATGACCGCTCTTAAAATTGAATGCTACTGTTTAAATTATTTACATTATTTACAAGTAATATATTCAACTCAACCTTTGGATGTGTTGTAATAGATCATAAATCAGAATTAGGTTGCATTCCAATTCAATTAGCTACTTCATGGTGAGAGTCTGTAATCAGTGGGATTGTTACCGTGGTGTGGTAATATGATAGGGGAGGTTGCATGACCAAGCTGCTTGACTGTGGACCTATAAGTGGATAACTACACTGAATTTTTGTAAGAATATTAGTAGACTAGTGTCCAGCAGTTTGGTTTTAATGAGTGAAGTAAAGATGATTTAGTTAGTGCTGTGCCCAAATGCTCTAGTTTCCTTATTCTGCTAACTTATTTCCACATTAAAAGTAAAGAATGAAGCTGGCCTTGGTAGCATATACCTTTAAGCCCAGCACTCAGGGCAGAGGCAGGTGGATCTCTGTGAGATGGAGACCAGCCTTGTCTATATAGTGAGTTCCAAGTCAGTGAGGGCTACAGGGAGACAAAAACGATCTGAGCAACAATCTATGTTGATGTAGTAGTGGCACTTGGGCTTACTCAACAGCTATCTAATTGGACTTAAAGCCCACTCAATGGGAGGGGACTCATGTGTGGCACTGTAAACATAGCCAAGTATACATGGCTGGAGCAGTCATAGATCCTAGAGAAATTCTACGTCTGTGCCTGTCACATCCCTATACAAACATAATTTCTTATTGTTTTCTACATTTACAGACAAGTATACCTCTCACCACTCATCAAAGAAGCTTCTTTTTGCAACAAATGGAGAGTGTTCCAGAGTTCTACAACTGGCCAAACACAGAGAACAAGGGTCTGTGAGCCATAAGAGACACATCTACAATGGAAATTCTGTATTCAAGGCTCATGGAATAAGAGTAGAGAGAATAGTAATGCATTTGCCAACTCTCACCAGAGATGCGTCCTCATGCAATAGAGGACGACTAATACAAAAGTTCACAACTGGCCAAAATGTAGAAAATAAGAGATTGTAGTACACATGTCCTTGGATAGGACTCCTATACTAAACCTCAGCCACTTAGAGTTCAGGGACCATTGTAGAAGAGGGGTTGGAAAGAAGGTAAGAGCCAGGGGTGGTGGATGACCACAAAGAATCAGTTTTCCAGGCTGTTGGGAACTTCCTCATATGAACTTAATGGTGACACAGGACCCATGCAAACCCAAACCAGAAAAAAACCCAACATAGAACTGGGGAAATGGGTAATAATTTCCAGACTTAGTGAGGAAGTATTGGCAGTTGATCACTACTGGGCGAGGGAAAGTTGTTCTTCTTTAAGAGAGTGATGCAAGATAGGTTGAACAGGCTCCAATGGATGAACTCACACTGAAGGACATCTGGGGAAACAAACTTGACCTGATAGGCCTTAACATATATGACAGAATGCATGAAATCTGGTGGGAAGGTTATGGGGGATGCAAATAGGTGAGAGGATCTAAATATGATAAGACCTATTATATGAAAATACACAAAAATATATATACTAAATATAAAATATATGTTAAAACCCGGAATGAGGGACAGTGAGGTGTTTCAGTGGGCAAAGGGACTTACTGAACACCTGATTTTGATCCCCTGGGAGCCATATTGAAGAAGAGAATAGACTCTCGCAAGTTGTTCTCTGAGCTCTACACTGTCACAATGACGTGTGTGTGCACATAGGCACACACACATTTACACACACACAAATGTAAAAAAATTAAACGCAAGGAATAAACAGTATGTGAATCACTCTGAAAAGGGTCCCTTTATAGCATTATGAATGTCTAACATGCTTATGGCTGTTCACTCAGCCTTGGGTAATCACAGAGTCACTCTCAGCTTCTTTCTCTCTCATTCTTAATTAGTAGTTATACATTAGTAGAAGTGGAGATTCAATGAGAGAAAGGTGGAGCCCTTACCTTGGTGTAGTCTATCTTAGTTGTGAGGATTATTAGTAAATGAACTGACATTAGGCATCTACCATGGGGCATTTAAGGACAACATAAATACACTAAAAGCTCTATCAAAGTTGTTGCCTAATTGTAGTGTTCTAAATTTGTGCATGAAAGCATCCATACTTATTAGAGTTTGTTGTTCACATGGTAGTGACTTTTCCAGGAGCTATTACTGGTTTACCAGAAAAAAGAAGAAGCTATCACAAATTTGTTTTGGGTAGAACATCCTCAGTAAATTTTTATTTTCATGGAATTTTTATATAGAAGCTAATAGTGTTTGTTATTTATTTCAACCAATATTTACTGAGTAGAGAACACATATTATATACTAGACTTTGTGTTGAAAGCCAGGCATTGGACATGTTTTCCAGGTAAGTATTGCATGCTCTGTTGCTTCTAATTTATAGCTTTCCAGATCTGAAGGTCAGTTACTCATCTTGATAATCATAGTCTCTTGAAAAAAGCAAATATCTTCCTCACTAATTCTATTGTGGTTTCACAGGAAATTGGCATGCAAATATATGAAATATTGATATCTGAGTTTATCATGATCTTCATAGTAGCCTTCAGGAAGCCCAAGTTGTTGGGACTGAAAAAGAAAGCAAGAAAAATAAAGAAAATTTTATATGAGCTTTGAAGGAAAGACTTCGATGGTTCAAGAAACCAGAGATGAATAATTCCAGGGAAACAATATTGTTTAAATAACTAAGGCAGCACAAATGTTCTGGAGGTGTGAGCAGTCTGGGATGGTGTGTGGGAGTAGAGCAAGTGGTGAGAACCCTGCCAGAGTTTCAGGGCTCTGGAATGCTTTATTATACCCACATTTCTTTTAAACTTGGTGTTAAGCAAAGAGTTCACCAGTAACATTTAGAAAGCGGAACTCAGCCAGAGAAACTATGGCTCAGTTCAGCCATAACTTTTCTCCAGGACCTTCAGCAGTACAACTCTGTATCCACTGGCTATTTCTCACACTGCTCTAACTTGGTACATTGGTCAAATTATAGAGAGCTTATAAAGCTCGAATATGTGACTTTCCGATTCCTAGAAAGTCCTCAGAATCATAGTTCAAAGAAATTAAATGCTAGGTTTATGTGCACTACCAAACCAACTCTTCTTACTAACTCCACAAATCATCAGAGGAAGGACTAAAACTTGATAGGAATTTTAGGCAAATGCATTCTTTTGATAAATTCTTTGATAAATTATGTAAAAACAGCCAATATCTTAACATCCAACCTTATACCAGTTTCATTATTTGACCTTGAATGTAATTTCACTTTTAGTAATGGATAGTTCATTTTACTGTTGGACTTACATTTAAAATTGTGTAGAACAGGTAAGACATGTATGAACCAAAATTACATATGTATATCTACTAGAAAAATTATTTCTCCTAATCCTGCCTCCATTATGCCCGTTTGTAGTCCACACAACTACTTTCTACCCCAATATACACAAATAAAGGGAATTATTATTATAAATAAAGAGAAAGTCTTTAAAATATTTTATACATATTAAGGAAGTGGCAATGAGTATTAGTTTCCATTCCTTTTATATGACTCAGTGGCATGCTCACTGTCCTGTCCTGCATCTTGTTTTTGTTCTGTTCCAAACATTAATTTGAATATGCCTTTACATTACTATCTAATGGGTTCCTTGTCTTTCATCTTTAATTTAACTTTGGTAAAACGTATATGTGTTAAACTTCATGTTTAAACCATTCTTAGAGATGATAGATATGCATAACCATAGCGTCAAGTGCTGAATGAAGGTTCCCAAGCCAGCCACAACCTCGTCCTTGCTCTCTTTACAGAATTAAATATATAACATACTAAGTTGTGTTTACCCATTTTGATTTTAGTTTCAGTTTGAAGAAGGCCCATCATAAAATGTTTCACAACTATATCTAAACAAGACACTAAAGGGATTTCACATGATGTTCTTAAAGTTCATTCAGTTATTGAAGATTGTGTCATTCAGAAGTTATAAACTCACCCAGCTAGAATTT